ACAACTAACTGAAGGTGCTACAAATTTTCTTTTTTTTCAAACGCATGATACAATAACTGACGATTTGAGGAGTAATACTTAAGTAATTTGATACCAGTAATATTTAAGTAATTAATGTCTCTTTAAGAGTGAGAACGATAAAATACATAACATTCTTTTAATAATTAATTGGGGAGATGAGTCTAACTAATATCAAGATTCAGATATTTTGCTACCACGGCGTAACAGAAGAACAGATCAACGACAAGATATAAAGACGCTACTAATTGATTCGTCATTTAGGAGTTCTTTTGTGTGACAGGCGGGGTGAAATTGCTTAGACATCAGCTAATTGTATCAGCCCTTACACTTCTTATATACCGAGTGTAGATAGATATCATGTGGCTTATAATGACAGCCTATGGGATCTCAAAGTTTTTTTATTATTGATGTGATTACTTTTATAAAAGTAAGAACCAAATTACACACTGAGAGCGCCAAAGAAAACGTAAACAGATTCGTGTGCATTTTATACTGCTAATCACGGACTTTGAGTGACCATTAAGGAACACTTAAGGATTAAATCTTATGTATATTCTTCTACGAATTATCAATCACACTGATATTGAACGAAAAATAACGATCTCATTTAGCAGTTGCTTTCATAACTGACTTACTTATAATGTTTACTAGTATGATTGACGAACTGAAATGTAAATAATAATGTGAATGACGATTAAGAAAACTAAACAAAACTGTAAATAATTATTTCGGCAAATTTATTAGAGAATACAAAAGGTGGGAAATATACTTTGCCATATATTTAGTAGACATTTAAATGGCGGTAAGTTTAGTCATCTGCCTTCTGTTTGCACTACTCATTTTCAGTATTTGTCAAATAATTCTTAGTGAATTCGCAAATTATAAAAGCATCACTGAACGATGCTTTATGTTCTTACGAAAAATGTTTGCCGAAAAAATCAGTGCAGAAGTATTAATATTCCATCAAATAAAAATATTAAATGGGTTTTACCTCAGTCGATGGGTTAATGTTTGCTAGATGTAAAAAAAGAAAATATTTTAATCGTTACGTGTTTTACTTTCTCACTTCTGTTGTATGTATTATATATACCTGCATTGACGTCTGTAAATATCTAATAAAAAGTATAAATAAAATTCATCTTTCCATTTGCGCGGCATTATTGGTTTTGAGTTTCGCGATGAAAGTTCTGACATTGATATTCGCTTGGTTACTTTGTTTGTTGGTCTCTACAGTACCGACGGAAGCACGGCCTCACGTGGGTGTTATTGTAGGAATACCTGGTCTGCCTGTACCAGTGCCCTCATATTACGGGCCATCATATTACGGATCGTATTATCCTCATTTTGATCATCATCACCACTATGACTATCATTCACACTTTGGCGGTTATGGGTACTATGGTTAAGGATCCGTTTGAATGGAATTTTTTGAACAACTGGCAATGGAAAGGATTCAGTGAAATTATTTATTATAATAATTGTATTTAATGTGAGTTATTGCTGTTGCTGTACAGAAGTGATATATTGAAACAAAAAATTATATTAATACAACAAATAAACGTTTAAACTTGATAATTTATTAAACACATATTATGGTTTTTTAAACTGCGGAAATTTATATTAAAAAATTGGTACAGATTTACTAGTATTAGTAACAGTTATTTACATAATTAGAGGCTAATTAACTATTGGACGATATTATTTCAAATAATACTGGAATTGTACTTGACAACAACAAATATATTTTATTTGCGAATTAATGAGTCAATATCCAAAATTATGCCAATCCCAACAGTTAATTTAGGTTAATAATAAAAATTCTTACAGGTTTTTCAGTTTAAATGTATTTTAAATAATACTGGTTACTAATTTCTTCACACGACATGCTAGAGCGTTCAAAGGTGCAATCACAGGATACTGACATCTATAAATACAGTTAAACTTCAAGTGAAATATCCAGGCATCTCAACTTATCGTGACATGTAATTGTCAAGATCCAGTACCTGCTTCTGGTTTTCATTAAACCAAAAGTCACACGCTAAAGATCCGAAGTTTTGGACAAAGTTATATTATTAGATTTATCAGTAGTCTTCATCTCTCCAAATTAACTTAGGAGACTTACTCTAGGAATAACACAACAGATCTCAAATGTTGTGATGCACAGTTGTTTAATATATAAATAAAAAGTAGAAGGATTTTAAAAATTAATCATTTAAACTTTATTGGTAAAATAAGTGTATTTATGTAATTTTTTAAAACAGATATGGCAACTCCTGGTTAACATACTCATGAAATAAGCAGTCAAAAACCGCAAGAACTTAAATCCGTTACTTTCACATTGAAAAGTTTAAAAACTGCATATATACAAAGTTTATCAACTTTGTTGCAAAGCTTTTTATGTTGCACGCTTCTTAAAAGAAACACAGCCTATACAAATAATAAATAAAATAATGAATTTTTACAGGAATAAAAGTCTATGAATGAATATATTTTATTAATTATGTTTTTAATTATGTTTAATTTTTGATGTTAGAAACAAAAATAAAACGAAAAAGCAACTAAAAAGTTTTTGTGTGCATTTTCAAATTCAAAACAAAAACGACCTTGAAAAACAATGTGCACACCGCAACAATCAATACATGGTAGAGCTATGATCAGCTTTAAAGACATTTAGAATTATAAGTATCATATAATATATCATATAACTTATATGCAGCTTGAATAGTTGCTGCATTTGCCGCTTTTATTTCTTGGAATTTATTGAGGATATAGAAATGTGTAAAATATATATAATCAGCAGAACAAGACTAATATCTCATGTATTATTAAAATAAATAATTATATGTATATAAGCATTGCCGGTACATTGCCATTTGGCCACTAATGCAGTGTGCAGAGAGTGCTAATAGGCATGCGTGCTACTACTCTTGAGAGTCAGTAGTAAATAAACTGCAACATTGCATTACTTGGCATGGCATGGCATGATTAGAGATAGTGCAACGTCAAATTCAATGTCAATGTCAACAAAATACCGAAAGTTAAAAAAATATTACAATAAATTAAAATACGCACATTGTAACTACTACTACGAAATTAAATTAATATAAATAAATAATAATATCACATTTTAAATCATTTTGAAATTTGTGTGAGAAGTGAATTCTTCTGTTAAGCGCGGGCCTAAAAGTATGCCACAATTTATGTAATTTAGTGAAATATATGCAATTTCGTATTTGAACTTGAAACGTTTTTGAAGCAAATAAAACAATAAGAAAAGTGAAAAAGTCGCATATAAACAAAATATTTAGAACAGAAAAATTTGGCAACAAATTTGCTTTTTATTTTGTTCTAGTTTTGTTTTGTTTTATTCTAATATAAAACTCAAGTGTTTATTCTAATTTTACTATTTTGCAAATCAGAGGTGACGAATTCTTGGGGCTTTTAATTACTATATAATAAAACAAATATTTAAATAATAACTGCGAAAAAGTTGATTATTGTCAAAGTTCTTCTTATTACTCTTTTATCAGGTAACTCTAATCGCATTACCTGCTTATATTCTCTCATAACATATCATCTGTTTAATGACTTCATAATAGAAAAAGTGATAGTACTTAGCATCAGTTTTGGTCATGGCACATTGCATGAGTAACTTAAGTTGAGCATGTTTATGCCACTTTCACAGTCGTATCTCAATACTGACTTAGTTAGCGGACTTAAAAATAGTCTCAATACTGACTTAAATTATGCTTAAGTCAAAAACTTTGGTTACTTCATTCATACTTAAGTCATCATCTTCTTATTCCAGTCTTTTGCTTTTGATGCAGCGTATTGCCGAAGCTCTCTTAGGCTATAAGCCTTCTGAAATCGCAAGGGCAAAATAATTGACCATCAGTTGTTCAATTGACTATCTTGATTCAATGTAGGATCTGCCTGCAAGAGTTAGTATGCCACGTGTACCTATTTACCTATCTAATAATTGATTTATTTAGCAATTCAAGCTGCATTATTATTATTTATCAGTCTTTATTTTATGGCCATTGTCTTCACCAGTTACTCCCAATATTATTGTTCTACTTATTATTATGTGTTAAGATATCGATCTAGATGTCGATACCATCTAAAAATTTTTTTGGTTTCTTGATGTCTTCATTGATGTCGACAAAATTAGAATATAGATGGCAAAGGGAGGAGCATTTATCTAATTGCAAAAGAATTAGAGATCAGTGATTTTACTAAACTTCTTCGCTACCAAACTAAAAACTTATATTTGTAGGTGTAAGCGACTCATTGTACCGCTACGAAAACTAGATTACTGCTAATGGTCTTGTAAGAATGATTCGAATATTAATAAGTAGCTTTTTACGAAAAATTTTAAAGATATAGTTTTCGATAGCTGACCCTCAAAAGAATGTAATTAAGAACCGGCATATATTAGATTTGGATCTCTACAACAACAAAAGGCGAGATCATGCATGAGCAAAATGAGTTGGATAATGAAGAACTAGAAAGCCAGGAAAATTTTTAATAAAGAGAAATGATAGCCGAAGAACTAAATTCATTTGCCCTCTTTCTCTGTCGAGATCCTAAAATCTAAAATTAGTTATAGATATAAGTTATATCATATAATATATAAGAACTGTTAGTAGATCATATAAAATTATTTTAACATTTCCTACTGCGTCTCATGCTCAATTTTACTGTATTTTGCATGCAGTAAAATAAATTTCAACCTTTAGCGAGAGTCCCTACTCGCATCCTACGGCTCTGGTTCTATATGATATGCATCAAGTCGTATTCTCAGCATTTAAAAATGATATGCGTAGGCAACACATATTGCATCTTTCTTGTTTGCAAACAAAATTTTCTTCAGCACTTTCTAATGCTTTTCTTCTGGCTTTCACCGTTTTTTCATATGAACTGTTTTTATAATAAATAAAACGAGTATATAACAATCTTTGCATTTAAAGTAATTTCAAAATTAAATTTTCTCGAGAGAATGTTTTTGAAAAGTCGAAAATGTTTCGAATGTAGGGAAATTTCTTGTTTGCAGTTTCTTTGCTTTCGGCCGAATTGCAACATCTCATCTCAAAATTTACAAGTGAATTAACACATTTTTTTTTATTTGGAACACAACTAAATTTCAAGTTTCATAAAACGTTAAAAATTCAATTTATCAACAATTGTCAAAATAAACAATTTATTTCTTACAAGACACAAAATATAAATTGAGAAAATTATGAATAGAACCACGCTTCACTGGAGTTACTTGAACTTCAAGGATGTGCCAATGGATCTCTTCTTATATGAGGATCTAGAGGAAATTTATTTAAAGGAAAATTTTATCACGACAATACCCAAATGGTTGCTCAATTTAACCACCTTAAAATTTATGCATTTTGCTGGCAACAACATCGGTTCGTTACCAGATGAAATGTACTTACTGGAAAACTTGGAGTTCTTCGATGTATCTCACAATAAGTTGACTAAACTGCCCGAGACAATTGGACTGCTAATGCGTTTACGCTGCTTTAATGTCAGTGGGAATCAATTGACTGAACTGCCTATAGGTTAGTACGACATAAAATTCAAAAATTATATTTGAATAATTGCATTTCAATCCAATAACAGAAATTGGTGATTTAAAATCTCTGGAGGAATTGAACATCGCCAACAATCAATTGCAACGATTGCCACTGCAAATAAGTGAGTGTGTCCGTCTTAATGTTCTTGACCTTAGTGATAATAAAGAAATCTGGCAGATACCCGAGCGTATATCAAATATGCAATCATTGCAAACTCTCATGGCAGATCGTGAGTAAAATCATATACTCTTTCACACACATAACATTTGCAATTCTAAAATCTTTTCGTTCTCTTTGTGCAACAGGTTGTTCACTCATTTACTTACCAGTAGCACTCTCAAAGTTTGTAAGTTTTGTGCGTATCTTCCACAATACGCCAATAACACATATTCCCATCTGCTATGAACGTTTCTATCAAAACTTCTTTGACAATCGCCAGAAACCAACACCAATGTAAGTGAATATTATTGTATATTCAGTGGAGTTCATTTTTTAAGCAATTAATTCTAGGACTAAAAGATCTGACGGATTCTTCTGGGTACTGGAGAAAGAAACATATACAAAACTCTTACTTCCCATAGGTACACGCAGAATATTTTCTATCCCTTCCTGTGAGAATCAAACAACACTCTACGACGACTGCTTACATGCTTTACAGTATTTCAATCGTTTTGTACCACTTTATAGTAATAAGGCACTTAGGAGCTTACTTCCGGAGAAGTATATGGCAGATCACATAAAAAATGGACCAATTGCGCGTTGTTCTTTAACGACTTGTGCAAACCCATTGTACACAACCTATTATTTTATGGTAGTAAAGAGGTGAGTGCGGTATATATTGTAAATTATAATGTATTACAACCATTTCATATAATATTGTACTCAACTCAGTCAATATATCACCGATAAAATATTTTCGTTTTTCTGAATTTATACCCTGTAAAATCCTAATAAGTAAAGCCTTTTTAAGCCATGTTTGTGTGTTTTGATGTAATTTTAATCCAATTTAAGCTTCACCTGCCCTTCTTTAATTATTACTTAATTTCAGTTCTATTTATCTGCATTCCCCTCAGTATTAACATAGTAGTCCGAGTGTGATTAATCCGAGTGTAATTAATCTGACTGATTAATAACAGTAATAACACATTATCGGTTCGATTACCACTAAACATTTTAGTATTAGGAAAGTTATTCAACTAAGTATCACTAATAGAGATTCAAATACAATAGCTTTTTTTATATATTTTGCTTTTAATTTTTATTAATGTTTATCTTAAGTGTGAAAACCACTTTTTAATATCATATCATATTACATTATCTTTATCATTATATTATAAATCATATTAACATGTATTCTCTCTTCCTTAAAGATCCGGAAGCTCATCTAAGCAACTTTTTACCTGTAATTTCTGTTCACAATTTTGTGGTCTAACGTGGTTGGGAGAGAATGGAAAAAAATATTATCAGATTGCTTGGGAAGTATTTGAAGATTGAATACATTGTGCTGACTACAAATACTAAAAAGATGAAGACTAGAACCGTATACATGGTTTAGAAAAATGGATTTCGCATATTAGTTCGAGATCTATATATGTATACATAAATATTTTTTATTATATCGTTAATTAGTAATAGATAAAATATTTTACGAAACTGTTGAACATTTGTCACAGATACCTGATGAAGCATGCTCACAAAACACCTAATGCCATATACTCGTATACTCGTATACACCATATAAAAACCAAACAGTTTATAATTAAGCAAAATTTGTGATATAAATAATAAAATCTTCCTATATATTGTACTTAAAACTCATTCACTATATTAATTTTTGGTTGAAAATATTAGTTTTTAAAAAACTCTTCTCCAAATCGTGTACATAGTCATGTACGTAATTATCCAACAAGCAATTTTGTGCACCCATAAATTTAGTCCTACAGTCGACGCCATGTCGCCCCATACGGAAAGCATCCACATATGCTTCATTCACACTGGGATGTGGTCTGTAAATCGAATTTATAAAATTTTACAGAAATTAGTTTACTTCATAAACTTCATAGTTAGTTACATTAGTATTCTGTGCAGTATTTCTGCATAGACCCCTCTGTGTTCGTGGATCTGAGCATTTTCACATATTGCCAGATTTAGGCAAGCACTGCCATTTATGCCTTTTCCATTCATAAATTCAACGACGAAATTGTAGAGCAATATTTGTGCTTCGTCTATATAATTTGCATTGTTTGTTTTTTCTTTGTTATTTTTGGAAACATCTGTTAGCGCACGATTTTTCCAAACATCCCACCAATAGATCGGAACAGTTGGCACAGAAAACTGATACTGAATAGCAACTAAAGCGAATAATGAAGCCCAGCGTTTCTTCATACCCATGACAACGGGAAGAGCTATACCACTGCTAAACTAAAATAATTGATAGAAAATCATTTATTACTTGTGCAAGCTGTAGAACCCAATTTGAGCCAAGTAATATTATATTTGTACCTTACATACACCTGCATCAGTGTACAGTATAAATCGCTTTTGTCGTCGATGTTCCCGCCATTGTGTTAAGTTAGCCTCTCGAAACTGGGAGTGGCTCTCTGCTACCAGAAAACTTAGGACCGAAAACAAAAGTAAACTGAATAAACTAAAGTGAAGATGTAGTTCAATTATAAGGACCACAAATCTTTATTTTATTATAACCCACACTCTTCTCATATTCTGTCCGAACTTTTTAAATCCTTTCTATTCACTTCGGTTTAAAATTTCACTTATTTCAAATTTTTCTCGAGAAAGGTAAAGTTCTTCCGAAAGCGGCAAATAAACTATTTTTAATCTTCGAACAGCGTTTAGAACTTCCCGTATTCCTACGAAAAGAGATATTCTTCTACTGCAAAAGTCTTCTGTCGTAAAAACAATGAAGTGCAGATATGAATGCCACTGGTATTTATAAGCTAGTCTAGAAACGCCTTAATTAGTGGCTCATGAAATCGGAAAAAAATATCTTTAATGGTAACTAAAAGTAGAACTTAATTAAAAGAAAACAAAGCGTGCTGGCAAATTAAGTTACGGTTTATTATCACATAAAAGTAAGCATTTGTGAACTGAAGGGCGCCTTTACCAAAATGATTTATTTTTTGGTTTTTGGTTTTTGGTTTCTATATTAGATATGAATCGTGCATTCTTAATTTAAACCGCTCCTCTAAAAGAAATGCAATATTTGTAAGTCGTAGTGATCTCAAGCATAAATTCTCAGCAAGAGTTCCATAAAAATGTTAAATACTTTCGAATTCAATTTGTTTTCTGATCGCTTCTCTTTTATTTGAACAAAATATTAATGCATATCATGTAGACATAATTCAACTAATTGTAAGAATCCACTCGAAGAACAAGCAAATACTCTATATGTGGTAAGATCTATTCCATAAGTTATCGGCAATATACATTAACTAGGCAACTTCACAAATGAAGAAATATATTAAATATCCAATAAAGTCAAAAAAAAAATGTTCTCTCAGGAAAAAAGTTAGATCCAGTGGCTGTTCAACTCGCATGAGATGCCGTTTTCCTATCTCCTTCATTAAAAAACCTACTTTATTATCATAGTATTTGTACTTGTTGAGGAATGATAGCTCCGTTTTGGACCGTAACCAATATGTGCATTAAAAATAGCAATCTTTTTCATACCTTTATCGTTGATATCAGACACATGCTTCAGAAAGGAAAACACCAGGATATAGAATACATGGTAAGTACTAAACCGTGACACGGTGAATGCGTCAGTCTCATACTTTTTCCGATGATATCCAACATATATTTCGGTAAGAAACACTCTACAATGTAAGATTTAAACTCTCTGGTGAATGACAGAAAAGTGATAGGATAAATAGGTGTTAGGAAAAATATACAGAAAACTAACATAGATCTTAAATTGAAAACACTTTGTCACTGAGTTCTCAAGCAATCAGAAATTTAAAGAATAATTATTTTGTTCATATATCTCCATATATTCTAACTGTTAGTGGCAGCTTTAATGCAATATAATAAGTAAATGACAATTGATCGATAATAATCCTAACATCTATTTAAACCTTAAATCCATGCATTAATGACTCACATAAACCTTTTAAGCACAGTCAACCATCTTCTTCCAATCCTTAATTTTTGACAAAGCATAGTGACGCCACTTCTTTGGGTGTGAGTAAGCCCTCCTTTCATAAGACGGTCTATAAGACGGCGTATAATATTTCAAACCTTATAATTCTGTTTTCTCCTCTTATCTCAGTAAAAATGTAACACAAAACATATTAAATAGCAAAGACTTTACTCTAAATTCTATGAGGAGGTAGTGTAGAGTAATATTTTTATGCTTATTCATTTTCACGTATTCAAATTTATTTGCGATTTCAATTAAGCCGGACCAATTTATACATTTAAAAAGTTTCTTGATTGTGGCGCCGAAGTATTTTACCTTTCGATGAAGTTCAAAAATCCGTCCAAGCAGTCAAATAGTTGGTTTTTAGTGCGCAGCGAGTGAAGATGTTTCGTAGTGAAATGTTGGAGTGATCAAGAGTTCTAAAAAAGCATTAAGGCGGTGCTTGGAAAATGCCAATATTAAGGTAAGACATAAGACAGCATATCATGGTTAATATCATTATAAAAATATTAAAAAAAAACAAAATAAAAAAAGTGAAAAAATAAAAACAGTTTTTAGAAAATTAAAAAAATAATCTATTTTTCAAATAATTAATAAAATCTCAAGAACATTTTAATAACATATATAAGATTTATATATAAAATTGATTAAAGTAATAATGTTGCTATTCATTAGATAATTAAATAATTGGTGCATATTGAATTTATTTATACATATATTATAATAATAAAATGTTTGAAAACACTTATAATCTAATTTGAATCAAAAAATAATATATGCTAATTATATAATACTTATATTTTTTAATTATTTCATAGTTAATATAATTATATTATAATTAAATATATTATTGAATTATTAATATATAATATATTATTTAATTTTAATGATAATATAATTATTGGCTAATATTATATGTAAAGAATTAATCAAAAATATTGAATAATAATACATATATTGATTTATTATATAATTAACGATATATAAGCAAATTGCACTACTAATATATAATATAAATAAATATTTTAAAAAGTTGAAATTAATTAGAATTTAAAATTTTGAGTTATAAATAAATAATTGAAAAGATTTAAATCAAATCCAACGCCTTTCACATTTATTTAACACAAATCTTTAATTATGTCTCCCATGCTTTGTAAAAAAAGAAATGTAATTAACACTACCTGCTAATTAAAAATATGTTAATTAAAACAAACATTTCTTAAACTAAAAATAAAACAATATAACCTATTTTACGAGCTGTCTAAAAAAATTAAAACTTATCAATATATTAGTAAAGTGGTGAAAGAGACAACGATAATACCATGAATCACAAATTTTATTGGTCAGCTTAAAGATACAAAATTATTATAATTTCTTCACGTTCTTCATGATTTTATTAATGTGCAAACTAGTCTCTTAATTTTTGCCTTACAAAAACAAAACGTCTCTTGAGTAATAAATCTAAGATAGGTTTTTTATAGTAAATCCCGAACATATAAATAATATTACATATATATTACCCCTATAATTGATTAGAAGTGGTAATAATGATATTTTTATTAATATCGTAAAAAATTTTTTTATCAAGTGCTGTTTCCGATATCACTAAATAACCATCATCAGCGGTTTATGGAAAATTTGTTGGTTAAATTATCATATATAATTTTTGGAATACAGGTGTCTGGAATTGGACTCTTAAATTCAACCCAAGAATTCACGTAATTAAACATTTTTTTGGATTTCAAAATTTCCGCAGTATTAACCTCCCTTTTGTAATCGAAATAGATTTATGGGCATAGGACACACAATTCTTAATAATCATTGATCATTTTTAAAAAAATTTTAAATATTAATTTGAAATAAATGTATTTATTTATTAATAAATCTTTTATTCTTATTTACATTTTTATAATCCATTAATAATAATACATAATATTTTTAATATTTGATAACTGCTGAGGAATATTCACCATATTTATAAAAGGATTATTGAATATAGGCTGTTACATCTACCTATTCGCAAGTATTTATATCTTAAAACTCTGCATAACATTTCCCGTGAGAAGTTCTTCCCGAACATGTGTGTACTTATCCAATAAACAATTCTGCGCATTTGTAAATTTAGTTCTGCAGTCTACACCATGTCGACCCATTCGGAAAGCATCCACATATACTTCATCCACACTTGGGTGAGGTCTGAAAAGGATTTTTTTAATTTTTCAATATTCAAAACAATGTCTTTTTGTATTAAAAACAAATAATTACATTAATAACCTATGCAGTATCTCGGCATAAACCCCGGCATGTTTATCGATTTGTGCGTTTTCACAAATCGCTAACTTAAGGCAAGCGCCACCATGTAAACCCTTTTGGTTCATGAATTCCACAACGAATTTATAAATTAAAATTTGTGCTGAATCCACGTATTTTCCTTTGCTGTTAATCGGAGTATCGGAATTGCCTACCAGCGCGCGATCCTTCCACACATTCCACCAGTATATTGGAGTAATTGGAACTGAAAATTGATACTGTAGATTCACTAACATAACCAGCTGCACCCAAGGTTTCTTTATACTCCTATCAACTGGGATGGAAACGCCTGTTGTTAACTGCATAAGAAACACGTATTGATAGTCTAGCAGAGTACCTTCAATATTACCTGTCAACTGCATATTTACCTTACATACTCCTGCGTCTGTAAATATTATAAACCGCTTCTGTCTTCGGTGCTCTCTCCAATTCGTTAAATTGGCCTCACGACAGCTATACTGACCATCTGCATAAATGGAGAGCACTGAACTTGTTATTAACAATTGGACAAGTCTGGAAAAGTTGAAAATAATTGAAAAAGAAATAGGTTAAAGGATCCATGTATCGCCGTCTATATTTATATTTCACTCTCAACTCACAATAATTGCATTTTGTATATTAATTAAATTACATTAATTTTCTGTTCCAAACAGAAAATAGTACTAATATATTTTGAAATTATTATTTTTTATTAATTAAATCTGTTTTAAAAATTCTTAAAAATAATTACGGAACATTTTTAAATTTTTCTTAAAGTTTTTCATTTAATATTCATCTTTATTTGCACACTGCACTGGATCAACTGATTTGTGTTTACAGAAATAATAGCTTTGATTCTATCTTAACCTGTATTTATTATTAGCAGCCTATGATAATGAAAAGAAAAATAGTTTACATATAAGACAAGAACTCAGAGTACTTAATATCTAAGGAAAAGTCGACTTTAAAACACGCTATTCAGGTGTAAAGACACACCAATGTAACTAAGAAGTTTAGAAGGTAAATATATTATACATATTGAATTCGTTACCATTAACTTTAGAACACTCCATATAGATGTAGAGTTTACGTATCCAATGATTTCATACACAAATCTATCTAAAACATAAATTAAAACAAAAAAGAAACTTTTCTAATTATTTTAATTATTTGATCACGAATATCTTGCATTCTCATTCAATATTCAGAATATACATTCAATATTCTGTATTAGAGTATTTGTTTAGAAATAAAACAATTGGGAACTAAATACACTGAAAAAAATTTCACTATGCTACTTATATATATATTGTGGAACATTGAGACAGTGCACCGTCTGCCAAGTGGCCCCACTGAAGTGAAGGATTAGCCGAAGTAGACCATGAAACGACTTGGGTCAGTTTTCATCCTTCGATTCTCGGATGTCGTATTGAGTTAAAGCTAGAGTGGCTTCCGTTGGCATAACTATGGTATATCGCTTGTTATGCAAGTTACTCATTTAACTTAAGGTTGCCTGCCAAATTGGTGTCCAACCCAATGGTGTCCAAAGACAGTTTTCCTCCTGCTTGCTAGTGCCGCACAGTGGTACAATATATGCACAGCTGCCACATTTTCTTCTAGACATACTCTGCAAGTGACTTCCTCAACAAGAGGTATCTTTTTAAGGTTATACTTGAAGTTTCCATGTCCCGCAATCAATGAACTATGCTTCTTAAATCCGGCGGTTAACCATCAGACAACATCACACTCTAACTAGACCATTAGAAATTGAGTTACAGCTGTTTAATTGACGTTACGTTTCATATTCGCAAAGCAATGGTAGATAAATGATTGCGTTTGTTGGTTTAACGGTGTTTTATAGTGAGATAAATTTTCAAGTCAACCCACGAATGGCTTGAAAATTATTATGGTTACTTTGCTTAATCGAAATCAACTATATGTCAGTTGTTCTGGTAAATGTTCTGGCTGTTTTATTTTGCTGATCATTTTAAAAAATCGGACAGATAATTCGTTGTAATCATCGGGTAATCTTACCATATTTGGTTGAAACTTTTTAAAAGTAAATGGCGAAAGGTTCTTATTTGTCGAAGGTCGTAACGAAAAAATAATTTAGTAAAATATATTTTAACTAACTAAGTAATGTATACTGACATTATCACTATCTTTATATTATATAATGATAATGTACATGTATCACAACATCGTTATCACACTCGTTACCTCATTAAATTCAGTATTTAAATTAAATTCAAGTTAAATTAATATCAATATCAATATATTTCCTTGATGTTATTTGAAATATACACTCTTGAAACACTTATTGTTCTCTGAAACATTAACATATGCATATTTTAAAATTTAAGGGTAACGGCCTCTTAATTGGATTAATTATTAAGTGCTAATTAAAATCATTAACATCAAAAGTTATTGACTTGTGTTAAAATTCAAATAAAAACAAAAAACTGTTAAACTTAAATCTTAACATTAACACTGTGCTTTTTTTATTTAATTTTTGACCATATAATTTAATTAAAATTATTCTTCTGTGATGTGGTTAAATGTTATTAATAATAAATATTTAATAAAACATATTTTGGAATCTAAAATTTAAAAATATTTATACGTAAGTTTTCTACAGATTTTTGTTGTAAAATTTTTCGTATATTTATTTACTACCGCTAGATTTCTTTGGTGCTGTTAGTTAGCACTTCGACTGTTATTTATTTTAATATAATAATGTAAATGTTATGAATTAAATAAAAAGCAACTTAATATTCAGAGTATTTTATTTTAATTATATTTTAATAAATTAATTAAATATAATAATGAAATAATAATGCTGTTGAGGATTTTGGAATGTTTGGAGGATATTTTAATTTCTGTAGAAAACCTCAATGTAAATAGTTTCAATGTTAAAAGTCAACTCTTACCTTTAACATAACTGTTATGACATCAGAAACTAAATTTGTGCACTGTTCAATTTAATTGTTTAAAAATAATAAATAATTATTTTTAATAAGAAAAAAAATTAACGAACCTACAAATAAGTACATATGTAATAATCGTTGATATATTAAATATGTAAGCAAGTATAATTAATTTTAATTAAATAATTTACATCTAATAACGACGACCAAAGCTTTCTATGAAAAGCTTTAAAATGTTAACAAAACATTTTAATGTTAGCAGCGGTGCCATATGCACTACAAACAAAAATTAAAAATAAAAAATTAAATTTTAATAGATTTTTAGTTTTCATATTATGAAATTTATTTGATATTGCAAAATAAACAATTATCTCTTATTGAGGATATTCGAGCTTATATAGTACTAATCTAATCTATTTTCTACGTGGTTACATTTAGAAGCTGAAGGCTATAAAACTCTGAAGAAAGTTACAATAACCTCTTAAGTTTCAATACATTTTTAAATTCACAATAATTTATCTCTTATGAAAATAATTTTGAATACAATTAAATTAAATTCATTTAGCAGTTATTTATGTTACACATAATTTTTTTTATTTCTACAAATATAGTATAGATTGTTATTATAACACGTCTTGAAGTTTAAGGAACCAACCCTAACAGACCAATATAACGCCAGCAATTTTGAATGTCGGATTTTTTTGGAAATTATGAACTGTTGTTTATGTTGGAGAGGGCCCGTGCTATCATTGATGTAGATAAAATATTATTTTGTTAGTAGCTACTGCAATTTTAATACTAGTTCTTTATTATAAATGTGAATTAATCAATTTTTTTTAAAGGATCACCGAATGTGATCATTTACTTGTAATAAAACGTAACATAAAATATTTCACGTAAAATTATTGATTCAATAAGTCCACAGTACTTCCCATGCCACAGTATTTCCTATATTAACAGTGTATACGCAGTTAACTACATAATTAACAGAATAATAACATAATTGACAGAATTTACAAAACAGAAAGTATATTCTAATCGAATTCACATTTACGCAAATTAAAAATAGTTTTAAAAACCTCAGAAGTTAATAAATTAACCAATTAAAAATCTCTTATGGACTTCTTCTTTTCTCTTATGGATATCTCTTCTTCAGAACTGTAACTGCAATCCACTTTTTTAGCCATCGACGAATTATCGTCTGGAAGCATATCTTATTTCATCAAAGAAACGGTATCGGAGATGACGCACAGATAATTTGTCACAGTTATTTTCAAAGGACAGTACATATTGGTTGTGCTTTATACTCAACCTATCCGATTGACTGAAACTCATAAACATTTTCATGCCCATTTCAACAATTCCCCAATGTGAACTTTCGTTTAGGTGCACATGGATGATCGATTTTCCCTAGCTTTAGGGTCCAGATTTCTAATTCATGGAAACGCATTTTTTTGTTTGTGTCACAAATAAACAATAAATTGATACAAAGCTACAATATTTATTAATTAAATAAGTATTTTTAAGTATTTATTTTGTTTCATTTTTTAATTTTAGTTACTAAAAATATTATTTTTATTTGAGAATTAAATTGCTGGCTATAGTTATTTATCAAAAGAAGACTGTGTCTGTGTCTACTACTATATTCTATATAATTCACTTAAATTTTTGGTCAATAGGTCAAATTCTTCTCACAGTTCTTCATTTATACTCGCTCATGGTAGACGTCATTAGAGTGCAATTTAATGGAGTAAACTTTGTGTAATTTCATTCTCTTTCATTCCAACTAATAGAGATTTCTCTCTTAAATGCAGAACTTGACAAATTGAAACTTTTGCATCATCACTTATTAAAAACAGAATTGCAAATTGCACTCCAAATAGTATCGACGAGGTTCTGTGCATATTTGCATCGTAAATAGTGCAATATCACATAGTAAATAAGTAAATAAGTAAATAAATCAAAAAGTTTCAATTATAATTTGTGCATTTTCAAAGATTTCTTATCAACAATAATTTACGAGCATTTCACATAATAAAAAGTGTAAACAAATTAAAATTATAACACGTAAACCAGTGCAAATAAAATTAATAATTACTAATAATTAAAAGCAAATAATTGTTGTTAAATTTATTTTTTTAAAAACGATTTAATCAGAAATAACAAAACATATCTGAAAATAATTAATAATTTTTTTTGTAACATTGAAGCTGAGACATGGGACTATAAACTTGAGATATCTGAAGCAAGCCCTACCTAACTTTACTTCCAATGAAAACTTCATTTAAAGCCATCCTTTAAACATACCTCTACTGACATTTGCAGTCTATTCATTAATGTTTATTTTATATGAATGGCCTATCGAACTGCAATCAAACATAAATAGATAAATTTGTGGATCGCGTTATAGTCTATTGGTTCTGATTTTTTTTTTCTGCTGATTGAGACTCGCAAGAATAATCTAAAAATATATAAAATTAAAATGTAAAACTATAATTTTACCATATTATTATTAATTTTAATGTAAAAATAAATTATTCATAAAAGCCTTAATCAGTGGAAATCAATAATAAATAATAAGTAATAAAAGTTCTCCATATTTAAAACTTGTCCATCGCCTCTTTAAGGCACTTTATTAAATTTTATGTTCGAAAAACGATTTGTCTAAACACTTGAAAATAAACGGTAATATATAAATTATTTTATGTACACATCAGACAATTTTATGGTTCACATAAATAATTCCATGAAATAATCGAGGAGAATCCCTCGCGTGACATTATATGACTCCGCTTTATCCTTATATCAAACTCTCACCGATATCTCTTAATTAATTTATTAATTTGTCATAATTTATGGGAATAATCGAGATTAATTGAAGTTTGAACACGAATGTTCTTTTTTTAATTGATGACGTGTTGATCGCGAATATGAAATTTATCAAAACCGTATATGCACAATATATTATATTTCAGAACATATAAATATTGATAAAATCCTGCTCTGCGCTTCGAGCTTTATTGATAGAAAGATTGTAAATTATATTTAACATTTTGATAAAATCATTGTGCACCCGGTTATTCACATAGCTTTGGTTTTATGCGAAGAGTTCAAAATATCGTATGAATTCAATTATTTATGAATGTCACGCATTGGTCTGCTGATTTCTAAGGCTAGTTCAGACTAGACGAGCTGCCATAAATGGCTGCACAGGCGTATATTTTTTGGGGGTTTTTTAATTTCAAGTTACGATTTCCAGACTTCTAACGTTTTGGTTATATTGGTTCTTTCAAATATCATAAAATTTACATAATAATGTTAGGTTGTAGTAAACTAAATTATGTTCTATGTTGTATAATATATCTCTGAATAAATTAAAAAAATTATTTATATGGGTAATACGGTACATATATTACATATTTAGCAAACAAATTTTAAAGATTACTCAATATTGAATTATATATTAGATTCTTAGACATATATCTTTAACTAATTATTCTTATTGTACTTATTCAATATATACAGTTAATGGTCTTGATTCCATAGTGTCGGATGTTCATGATTCTTACGAATGTTTCTGCACACCTCAATTTTACGGCTTCCCTATTGCATTCGATGAATCTCGTTTTCTTCTATAGATTAACTTTCATTTGACAGAGCGGCAGAATTCCTCCTGCAGAATTGGGAACTTGGACAAGTTTATAGACTTGTTAGGTTGTTAGAGTCGTGCCTTTCGGCGCTCCTCTACGCTGACCACTGTGATCCTTTCGGGAATGTCTCTCATCCTCGTATTAACAAGGCTATCTACTATCACAATGTACCATTATTTGAGCTCAAGTGAGCTTTGGGTATAAGGCCTATCGTACCATAAGATTCGCTTGAGTGTACTGTCGTCCGTGTTTCAGAGGATATTTTACATAGTTTCGTTGTTGAAATGCTACTTCAATTTGTTCAATTCGAGTGTCATATTAGTTTCACGTACTCTTAAATATATATATTTGCTGTTAGAAATATCTGTAAGCACGCAATGTGCATTACATTACATTAGATTACAATTATTTTTAGTAATTACTTGATAAGGTTTCTTGGACGATTAGACGATTTAATCTTAGAATTAGTCTTTGCAAAATGGTCTTAAAAATCATAAGAACATACATTTTTCAATATTTTATAAAAATTATTAGAAATTATCTAAAATATAAAAATATATGTAAAATAAACTGTTGTTTTCTTCGCAAAGAGTTTGGTAACGCATTATACCCCCCATTAAAAATTTCTGTGGCTATATTCCTTTTAAAGCATTTCTTATCCAGATTAAATGTTATTATCTGTTTTTTGCAAATATTAAAAAAATTTTAATTAGAGCTTTTCACAGAATTCAATAAATTATATCTTAAGTATTAAAAAACAAATAAGAAAATTGTAAACAATCCGAAAAATAGATTCCCACATAGGCACTTATCAATTGAATATTTCTCGCTCATACAAACAAACAAGTACCTAGGAAAGACAATAAAAATCAATAATGCATAGAGCAAATTAATCAAGCTTGCTAGAGTCCATGCAAAAAAATTTCGAATAGTAAAAATTATTTTCGTCTCAGGCACACGAGTATTCCACACAAATTCTAATCTTATCACGAATTTTTATTTGGTTCCCTTGCACACCCTTTCAGATGACCAACGCTAAGAATAAAAAGTTGATAAAAGAAGCATCGCAAATTATATATTTATCTTTCCAGAAATTTACTATAAAACGTTGGCCGTATGACCGATTGAGACTAGTTAATATCCGTCCACTTTGAGTTGTGGCACTACTTTAACTAACTTCAAAATGATTTTCACTAAAATTAGTTTGAGTGTAGCATTGCTTCTGGTTGTCTCCAGCCAATTTACTGCTGGTCAATTTAATCCTAATTACCAATCCGGCAGAAATACCATTGTACATTTGTTCGAATGGAAATGGGATGACATTGCAGCAGAATGTGAAAACTTCTTAGGTCCAAATGGTTATGCCGGTGTACAAGTGAGTGCAGAGAACTATAACACATATTTGGGCTCTTTATATTATTAATTTCTATCCAGGTTTCACCAGTCAATGAAAATGTTGTTTCTGGTGGTCGTCCATGGTGGGAACGTTATCAACCAATGTCATACTTATTGGTGACTCGTTCCGGTAATGAAGCCCAATTCGCAAGCATGGTTAAACGTTGCAACAATGCCGGTGTACGCATTTATGTGGATGTTGTCTTCAATCATATGGCCGCATCTGGTAGCAATGTTGGAACTGCTGGATCTACTGCTAATCCAGACAGCAAAAGCTTCCCTGCCGTTCCTTATTCGTCTTTGGACTTTAACCCCACTTGTGCCATCACCAATTACAATAATGCTGAAAATATTCGTAATTGCGAACTGGTCGGCCTTAAGGATTTGAATCAAGGCAACAGTTATGTACAAGACCGTATTGTAGATTTCTTGAACAAATTGATTTCATTGGGTGTAGCTGGTTTCCGTGTTGATGCTGCTAAACACATGTGGCCTTCACATATGAAGGTAAATAACTGAAAAAAAAGTAAAATTATTGTTTTCATTAATACTCATTATAGATCATTTTCAATCGTCTTAACAACTTAAGTACAAGTCATGGTTTCGCCTCCAATTCACGTCCTTTCATTTTCCAAGAAGTTATTGATATGGGCAGTGAAGCAATTTCCAAATACGAATACACAGGTCTTGGTACAGTTACTGAGTTCCGCTTCTCGGATTCCATTGGTAAAGCATTCCGTGGTAAAGATCAATTACGTTGGCTCGTCAATTGGGGTACCGATTGGGGTTTCTTACCTTCTGATTTGGCTTTGGTATTCGTTGATAATCATGATAATCAACGTGGTCATGGTGCCGGTGGTGCTGATGTTCTTACCTACAAAACATCTAAGCAATACAAAATGGCTACTGCTTTCATGTTAGCACATCCATTTGGTATTTCACGTGTTATGTCTTCATTCGCTTTCGATGACACCGATCAAGGTCCACCAACAACTGATGGTAATACTATTAGGAGTCCTAGTTTCAATGCTGATGGCTCTTGCAACGGTGGTTGGGTTTGTGAACATCGTTGGCGTCAAATTTACAATATGGTTGGTTTTAAGAATGCCGTTGCTGGCACTGGTTTACAGAATTGGTGGGATAATGGAAGCAACCAAATTGCTTTCTGCCGCGGCAGCAAGGGTTTCGTTGCCTTCAACAACGATTCTTATGATTTGAATTCTTCAATACAAACCTGCTTACCTGCTGGTACTTATTGCGATGTTATTTCCGGCAGCAAATCTGGTTCAAGTTGTACTGGAAAATCGGTTGTGGTTGGTTCTGATGGACGTGCTACCATCACTATTAGAACTAGCGAACAAGATGGTGTATTGGCTATTCATGCTAACTCCAAATTGTAAATTATTAAACAATACTTATTAAAATAAAGTTTGCATTTTTTACATTAAAATATAATTTAGTAGCTTGTGTTTTTTACAATAGATATTAACTAATGACACCAGTTAAGGAAGTGAGCCTTACTAAAACAAACAACTTTTCACACTTTTTATCTAAACACTGACGTACAACCAGTATTTCGTTGCCAATAAATGTTTTTTGGAAACTACTCTCGTTTAGTTTTTATCGCTATTTTTGGTGCTGTTGGCTAGCGTTTTAGTGAGATTAACTATTAGTTTCATTTGTGATCATTTTAATATTAGTTATTGATTTTGTTAGAAAAGTACTATATTATACATAACAGAGTACTAAAATTATACGAATTACAATTGATCGATAACTAACCATTTGAAGTAAACGTTCCTGTTTATACGAGCATTATTTTGTCACTAATTAGTCAATAAATTACATAGCTGATACTGCAGAGGAGGAAATTTCTTATATAAAACAATATACAGTATCTATAATATAAGAAACGACAATAAGATACTCGTACAAAACAACTCAAATAATGACTTATTGTACATTGAATAATTCACACCTGAGCATATAAACAAGCATAAGAACAATACTAGAAAGTTCGCAAATAAACAATAAAATTCAATAATGAATATAAAGAAATAATACAGATGCCTAAAGTCCCTATAAAATAATTAAGAATAGTAAAAATAAGCAGTCTAAGGGTTTATACTTACTCATATAACCGCCAATTATTATTTGATTTCCTTGCACTCCCTTTCAAAACCGGTATACTAACAATAAAGGTTAATAATGGAAAAATCATAATATTTACATTTTCAGAAATTTACTATAAAACGTTGGCCGATGACCGATTGAGACTAGTTAATATCCGTCCACTTTGAGTTGTGGCACTACTTTAACTAACTTCAAAATGATTTTCACTAAAATTAGTTTGAGTGTAGCATTGCTTCTGGTTGTCTCCAGCCAATTTACTGCTGGTCAATTTAATCCTAATTACCAGTCCGGCAGAAATACCATTGTACATTTGTTCGAATGGAAATGGGATGACATTGCAGCAGAGTGTGAAAATTTCTTAGGTCCAAATGGTTATGCCGGTGTACAAGTGAGTGCAGAGAACTATAAAACATATTTGGGCACTTTACATTATTAATTTCTATCCAGGTTTCACCAGTCAATGAAAATGTTATTTCCGGTCGTCGTTCATGGTGGGAACGTTATCAGCCAATGTCATACTTATTGGTGACTCGTTCCGGTAATGAAGACCAGTTCGCAAGCATGGTTAAACGTTGCAACAATGCCGGTGTACGTATTTATGTGGATGTTGTCTTCAATCATATGGCTGCATCTGGTAGCAATGTTGGAACTGCTGGTTCTACCGCTGATCCGGATAATAAAAACTTTCCTGCCGTACCATATTCATCTTTGGACTTTAATCCCACTTGTGCAATCACCAATTACAACGATGCTGATAATGTTCGCAATTGCGAACTGGTCGGCCTTAAGGATTTGAACCAAGGCAACAGTTATGTACAAGACCGTATTGTAGATTTCTTGAACAAATTGATTTCATTGGGTATAGCTGGTTTCCGTGTTGATGCTGCTAAACATATGTGGCCTTCAGATTTGCAAGTTTGTTGCTACCTACAATTTAAACTAAGATCTATTTTTTCATAAAAATAATATTTTAGGTGATTTTTAACCGTCTTAACAACTTAAGCACTAGTCATGGTTTCGCCTCAAATATACGACCATTCATCTTCCAAGAAGTTATTGATATGGGCAGTGAAGCTGTTTCGAAATATGAATACACAGATCTTGGTACAATTACTGAATTTCGTTTTTCAGATTCCATTGGTAAAGTATTCCGTGGTAAAGATCAATTACGTTGGCTCGTCAATTGGGGTACCGATTGGGGTTTCTTACCTTCTGATTTGGCTTTGGTATTTGTTGATAATCATGATAATCAACGTGGTCATGGTGCCGGTGGTGCTGATGTTCTTAACTATAAAACATCTAAGCAATACAAAATGGCTACTGCTTTCATGTTAGCACATCCATTTGGTATTTCACGTGTTATGTCTTCATTCGCTTTCGATGACACCGATCAAGGTCCACCAACAACTGATGGTAATACTATTAGGAGTCCTAGTTTCAATGCTGATGGCTCTTGCAACGGTGGTTGGGTTTGTGAACATCGTTGGCGTCAGATTTACAATATGGTTGGTTTTAAGAATGCCGTTGCTGGCACTGGTTTACAGAATTGGTGGGATAATGGAAGCAACCAAATTGCTTTCTGCCGCGGCAGCAAGGGTTTCGTTGCCTTCAACAACGATTCTTATGATTTGAATTCTTCAATACAAACCTGCTTACCTGCTGGTACTTATTGCGATGTTATTTCTGGCAGCAAATCTGGTTCAAGTTGTACTGGAAAATCCGTTGTGGTTGGTTCTGATGGATGTGCTACAATCTCCATTACAACCAACGAGGAAGATGGTGTATTAGCCATTCATGCTAACTCCAAATTGTAAATATTTAAATTAATAAATTTGTTTAATTAATAATTTCGATTCTACAAGTAAGTGTTTGGAAAAAGAGAGTCCCTTGATATCCAATGATCAGTACATCAGATTTTAATAGTTAATTATTTTTTTATTTGGACAATCTTTAAAAAACAATTTTTTCTACTTATCACATGTGTAAGAGATATACATTAAAAGGGAACTTTAGGAATTCTTTGAAGACCTTAATATAACAATTTTTTAGGTGGTACTCGATATGGCTTTAGCATTGTAAAAATTGAAAAAAAAGTGCAATAATAGTATATTGCACACTACTAAGGCCTAACATATATAGAACATTAAGATAATATACCAGAGATGACATCACAAAAACAAATAATTAATTTATGTTTATTGATAACTGATTAAAAATATCAAGTTTAAATGCACTTAATAAAACTTCCGATTTTATTCTATTATTCTGATAATGACGTATTAAGACCTACACCGCAGAACGTTATCATCGTTATTTATTGGTTATGATAAGACTTTATAAAAGGTAATTGATATCAATTTTTCACTTTTAATTCAATTTGCTTGATTATAAATTAAATTGCAAAATATTCGATTCGAAAGTATTTTTAATTGAAATTGCATTGTCTTTCTTCATTTGGATCGATCTTAATCGACGAATCACACTATTTTTAGGCATCATGCGTTCGCCTGCTGATACGTTGGTATTTACTACTATTTACTACTACTTGAGTTATAAATAATTTGGATTAATTACTCATACTTGAAATAAATTTCCCACATATTTGATAATCTTAATTTGATATATAATCAGATCAATGTGTGTACCCCCATGCTAATGTAGAATATGAATAAAACCGACTTTTTAAAAGAGAATAAAAAAATTTATGAATATTACATATAAATCTCGTACATTTTATTAGATTCTTTTTTGTTCATATCATGAAAATTAATGGTAAAGATATTTATTATATAGATAGTGTATGCATATAAATTAGTCAAGCACAAAAAGTATTACTATGGTACCGTGAAGCACCGTACGAATAATGTACTCGTAATAGGGTTCAGTAACAATGATGGAATTGGAAAATAGGTAAAAGTCACGCAGAAAAAAACACAGAAGAGAGACCTGACAGGGAAGAAACATCGAAATTGATATGACTGATATTATGCCAAAACGTGTTATAGAGCTACGGGTTCATACTGGAGCAAAGAGTAGTACATACTACTTTGCACAGTTTCTTTAGATTTATCTAATAGCAGCCTGCGAGCAATTTTAGAACTTTGTTGTAAAACTTCAACCCACCATAAAAAGCTCTAAAACGCCATCCTACATTTTGCTTCAAGTAGTTGTAGCACTCATAGTTTATCAGGAAGAATCAAAAATATGTGCAGAGTGAAGGATATGTATTAAATCCAGAAAGTTGCCTTTCTAGTATTTAAGGTTCGTCAAGATGTATCACTCTGCTGAGTTAGAAATGTATGTCCATGTCAGGAGACAATAATAGACCATGTGCAATGTGTTCATGTTCCAGCAACATGATATGCTAGTTTTGTTAATTGGCAATTTGACGAGAAATGGTGTACGTTAAATTTCCCAGCAGTCCCTACGTCTAAGTTAAATAGACATAAACCTAACTAATAGGAATTTCTAGTTTCAATACGTTATATAATATAGTGTTGCGTATAACACTAACATATAATAAGCACTTATTTATTGGAGCTATATGCGCTATGTTACATTAAGAGTGTGGTAAGAAAACTGACAGACTTACCAACACCGCGTTATCAAATCTCAGAATGGTTATAGGCTGCGCGGGGAGGTATGCAGATCTGAGGTCAATTATTGCTTAGTCTGATGAAGTGATAAACAATAATCTAGTCAAGGTGTAAAGAGGGGTTTTTAAATACCTCGAATTAAAAAAGAGTATAAGTGCTTAAGTGCACTAGCTCAAAACAGCTTCAACATAATAAGAAAGAAATATACAGATTTAAATAATTGCAGCAAATACAACAACAAAAGTAAATATATTTTTAAAACATATTCTTACGTATTTTTTATTACTGAAGTGATAATACGTATTATTATTAAAGTGATTACTTTTTATCTCTGAATGTAATTATTCTTTATGATATAGTATTTTGACTATAGCAAGATTTTGGCATCAATTTTTGTAACTCACTGGATTGCGGTTTAAAATAAAATTCCACTGATGATGGTTTGCCCGATAATTTTTATAAAATCCTAAATATGTTCACATATACCAATATTGACAATAATGTTTGCTCACCGTTACTAAGGTGCTCTATATAATTTCCATTGATTTAACCTCTGGAATTTGCTTTGAAACCAAGACCTTTCATAGCAACTGTTTTGGAGCCCAAAATGTTTACCTTGGCATTGCTATAGAGAAGTACTTGATTAATATTTTGTTTGATTTTTTTCAATTTTAATGGTAATAATCGCACTATCTTAGACTTTTTCAAATTAAAGCATTTTGAATTAATAAACAAATTAAAATTATTGAAAATATTATGACAAAATATTTCTTTCAAAAGTGAAGCCAAAATCATCCAAGAACACTAAAGTCATCGAAATTTAAAACGACTGTGAAAATTTTGCACTGATTTTGAAAATTTCATATATTTTTCAAGAATTTTTTTATTTTGTTTTAAAAAATTTAACTTAAGCCGTTCAAGATGCTTCGTATTCCTGGCATGCCCCTCTTACCGGGCTCACTTTTCCGGGACGTAAGTTACGCACGCTTTTGTATCATGAATTTGAATTAATTGAACTTATATTTTAGTTGTCCAAAAGTCATTTCCCGAAGCCGCAAAACTTTATGACCTACAAGGGTATTAGTATGCTAAATGACCGTCTACCTCCGAAACTAGTAGAACCGAATGGCATGATAGCCGATCCGAATTGTCCGCCAGTGCAAATACCATCTCTGCATCCACCTAAAAGCGGTCCGCGCTTGCCTCCTTGGTTGGCATATGATAAACAATGTTTGTGTTTTCATGCCTATTTCAAGGAAACATTGCAAGAGGTTTATCACGCCCCTTACCAAGTACGCAAAGTAAAAATTTACTTCTACTTGGAGGATGGTACAATGCAGATTATAGAGCCTTGTGTGCGAAACTCTGGTATTCCCCAAGGTTGTTTAGTGCATCGCCAACGCATACCAAAGCCACCACCATGCGAATCAGAGTTTTTAACTCTTTTGGATTTAAATGTGGATGCTACAGTGCAAATATATGATCGGGTTTATCATATAACAAACTGCGACCGTTTCACGCGTAATTTCTTGAATCGTGCAGGAATATCAGTACCGGATCCTATTGATGAACCAGCGTAAGTCAATTACAATAATGAAAGTCAATTACAATGATAATATTTTGCAATTATATATTATTTAGAGACCCGACAGCTGAATACCGTAAACGTGAAGGCATAAAAATTGTGAATCCACCAGCGAAGAAACATCCTTTCACACAGTTTCTACTATACGACCGACAAATATTGAAATTTCATGGTTATTGGGATGATCGATCAGAATTTGGAGATGTACGCAGATTGGAATTGTGTTACTATTTAGCCGATGATACAATAGACATCAAGGAAATTTATCCTCGAAATTCGGGTCGCGAGGGCCCAGCTAGCTTTTTACGTCGTACTAGGCTACCCAGAGTAATATATATTTATAGTTTATTTTATTTGTTAAAAATATACTTTTGTTAATATTTTTTAATGTAAAATCTTTTTATTTCTCTACAGGAAACATATGCATTACCACTTCCAGGGCAGGAAACTCCACAAACTGTATTAAATGTTTTAGGTAGTGGTGTACGAGATGTACGTTATGTTATAGACCCACTAAATACTGGATGCAAAGAAGTACTCTATTACTCCGATCGCGATCTTCAAATAGGAGCTGTAATAAATGTTTTCGGTCGTGCAGTTATGTTAGTCGATTGCGATGAATTTACTAGGTCGTACTATAGAAAAAAGGTATGCTTTACAAATAATTTATAATCTTATATCGCACAGTTACGTATCCGCTTTACATATCTTCATATTATCTTAAATTAGTATGGCATTGAAGATTTCACCCCATTACCTGTTCCACTACGTGAGATTGAAGAAGTCGAAGAAGTAGTCGAACGCATTCTGCCTCCATATAATGGTTGGGGCACATATGAAGATTCAGAGGGCAACTGTAAGTCTGTTGAACCTAAACCACCGCGTATTGATTTCAATAAGTGGTATAATTATGAGCGTTATATACTGCGCTTTGGTGCCAAACTACTATCAACCATACCGGAAAATTGTGAACGGTCGTTTGTTATTTCCTACTATTTAGCTGATGACACAATTCAAATTTACGAGATCGCAATTCGTAACTCTGGTTTCTTAGGTGGAGAATTCTTAAAACGTACCCGTATTGAGCTGCCTGGCCAAAAGAGGTTCAGTGTCAAGCGACCATTATGCTATGAAGCCAGTAATTTCTACATTGGCGCAACTATGAATATTAACGATTTCATTTTCACTGTTGTATCGGCCGACGAGTTTACTCTAATGTATATGGAACACAACTGTAGTGAGGTATTATAAAATCGTTTTAAACAAAATGTTTGTTAGTTAAAAAACAATTTATATTTTATAGTTCCCGAACTCTGATATAAAGAAAATTATGGAAAAAGTGCGCGAAGCTATACGACCCAACTACAAAGATTTCGTAGGTAAATGTTTACCAGCAACAGCTGAAGGTGCTAAAGAAATGAAGTTTATAAATTATGAAACGGTTAAGCGTGCACTTTCTGATTCTTTGGGTAATGGCATTACCAATCACGAAGTAATTACGTTATGTCGGTACTTCGGAGTTGAGAAAGAACAAATACTATCTTGTGATAGAGAATATGTACGATCTGCGGCGCATCTTGAAATAAAACGCAACCTGTGGAATGCAATAGATGAATTAAAAGAGCACTTATATCACTTAAATCCGGGCCAAAAACCATTTGTTTCAGAAATGAAAATACGCTCTACACTTAAGGGTTGTCGGTTGCCATTTGGCCCTGAGCTTATAGATAATATATTAAAAGTTTTGAGTCGTAATTCTTGCGGTGATATAGAAGTTTGCGATTTTATTAACTTCTTGGACATGGGATGTGGCAGAGTATGCGATATACCACCAATGAATATTGCTTTTGAACTGTGTCCAAAGATTCCAAATTTAAACAAAGGTCGCTTAATTAATTTCGCTTGCTTCTTAGATGAATTAGGATTAGAAAAGGAAGTCCTGGAGATTGAAGAAGAAAATTAAATACTGTTCTAAACTAAATACGAAATTTCAATGAAGTTGTATTGTAAAGTAAATAAAATAAATTAATCATAATTAAACCAAAAACAGAGTGACCCCTTATGGAAGAGAAAAAAGTCCAAAATTAAAAAAAAATTTTTTTTTTGCTTACCTTATATTTTAATACATATAGTTTCTGCATAATATAAAATAAGTGTTGTTTATTTTTTCAAATACAAAAATTCTCAAATAAAATTAACAAGATTTTTAAATGCTATAAGAACCCAAACCAGAACGATGTGCATTAATAAAAAACTCTACCACACAAAAATTAATTATAAAAACCAAACTAACTTTTATATACAAAAAAAAAAATAAAAAAATAAATAAATAAATATATTTTAAAACAAGTTTTTGAACAGGAACCCTGAATTACCGCTTGAATTATTTAACTGACTTTATACTATTATAATAAGTGCTTTAGATCACATTATTAAATGATTAATCTTAGAATATAAAATCAGTTCAATGCTATATATTAAAGAATCCATTATCGTTGATGGGTCTAAAATACGAATTTCTCAAAACATTTTAGTTAACTCTACTTTTCTACGCACACACAAATTAAAATGAAAAAATAAAAATTACTTGGAATGCAGTTTGAAAGGCTACTAGTTTCTTCTAACACTGATACATTTATTGCTGTTTAGGTATTAGTGATGACTCCTTATAATTTCGATTCGGTTAACCAATTAAATGTTTGTGGCTTTCTGTCCGATGAGGGATTTATAGCCACATTAATTATGGTTGGTTTATCTGTAAGCTTTTGTGCTTCTTTAAGCGCTGATTGTAGTTCTACGATTTCCTTGCAGAAGTAACCTTTCAGACCGAACATTTTCATCATTTCTTCATAGTGGACTTGAACACCCAATGCTGATGGTGGAGTACTAAAAGATCAGAAATTCAATAAATATATATATGACTTTCTTAATATATGATAAACTTACACCTGTGACAGGTCACCGGCACTACGAATTGCATCAAATGTGTCTTGATCAAAACCGCCATATATGCCATTATTATTCACTATCACAATCGTTATAGGCAGGTTGTAACGTACCATTGTTTCAATTTCCATACCTGAAAATCCAAAGGCACTATCACCTTCAACACATACCACACGTTTACCAGGGAAACGATCACGACAAAATAATGCTGCAGCAATAGCAAAACCAGGGCCAACACCCATCGTTCCAAAAGTACCAGCGTCTAAACGATGTCTTGGTAATATATTTAGAAGCATAGATCGTCCAATATCCATAGTATTAGCTCCCTCACTCACAATAACTGCATCACGTGGTATGAGTTCACGTAAATGATGAAATACTGCGTAGTAATTCAACGGGGCACTTATTTGTTTAGACATTGTCTGTACAGCTTCTTTATTTTGTGCACATTTTGTGGCAAGTTGTTGCCACCAGGGATTTTCATTAGAGAAGTGGAAATTTACCGCATTCATCTGCTCAAACAATTGCTCAGCAAATGGTTTAATATCTGATTGTATCGCCACTGTTGATATAACAGAGTTATGCAATTCCTCCGGACAAATGTCCACCTATATATGACATGACGAAAATATATAAATATATAATATTCATTTCAGACGAATACAGTCGAACCCCCCTATAGCAACTCCGTAGGGAAACAAAACTTTACATCATTATAGAGGAAATTTGTTATACATAAATCATAATTTTAGGAGATTAAAGTAGAACGCTAAAACTGTGTACTTTATATCTATTTCTAATAGGGAAAGCCTCGTTTTATAGAAGTTTGTTATAGAGAAGTTCGAGTATTTATCATACTTGTATGAATTTAACGTCCTTGTCGTAACGTGGTGGACGACCGAAATGCAAAATCCAGTTTAAACGTGCTCCTAAAAGGAGTACAACATCGGCTTTCTGTAGTGCTAAAGTACGTGCTGAAGACACACATTGAGGCGCTGAGTCTGAAACAACACCTTTACCCATTGGTGATGGTAAGAAAGGCAAGTTGGTATTTTCAATGAAATGACGTAATATATTTTCTGCGTGAGCATAAGCGGCACCTAAAAATAACAAATATTTAGTAATTATATCAGCGTTCTGTTGATAGTATGCATTAATTTTGAATTTTGGAGTGTTATGATGTACCTTTGCCAATCACAACCAAAGGCCGCTTAGCTGATCGAAGCAAATTTACCGCGCGTATTACCTCATCATGTGGTGGATACACAAGTGGTGGAGCAGGATGTGCCAAAGCTTTATAAATTTTTTCTTCCGGTGCACGGGACTGCAAAATATTGCCAGGGAAATCCAAATATGCAACACCAGGACGGCCGTAAGTAGCATAACGAACCGCTTTCTCTACATGCAAAGGAATAAGTGCAGCTGTAGGTGGGCGCGCAGCATATTTGCAGTAAGGGCGTGAAAGTTCTACCTGTGGGCACTCTTGAAAACCACCGATACCTTCATGATCTTCATTTGTTGCGCCACCAATTACTATCAACGGCCAACAATTCACTTGTGCATTTGCCATACCACCTAAAAGTTGAGTTTGATAAGAGTGTGTGTTCATAAATGAAATTAAGTATTTTAATTTACCGGTAACATGTAATAAACCAGGTCCACTTACTACCAGACAAACACCCGGTTTGCCTGTTAAGTAGCCAATAGCTTGTGCTGCATAACAAGCAGATTGTTCATTGCGCATGCCAATGTACTTGAGTCCTGCGGCCTGCATGGCCATTGAAAGTTCAATAACTGGTATGCCAATAATACCAAATACATATTCGATACCCTGGAAGAAATATATATTATTTATTTGTACTTTTATAGGCTGCAGTTCTTTAAAGTGATTTTTAAGATTCATTCACATTACTTTAGATAAATGCTTATGACGTTTTAGTGGCGTTTCAAGTAAGATAAATTGTATTTACCTGTTATACATAAATACTCATTTACAATACGTAAAAAATAATAAATGGATTAATCTACGTAAATTGTTTTGACGATCAGTAAATTTGTTAACATTTCCTGTTCGAACATAGGCGTAACATTTTTGAACACGAATTGTTCTGCTAACTGTTAACATTGAGTAGATTAAGAATTATTTTTGGCTGGTTTTATCAAGTGTTTTGTTAGCTGGTTGGGTGGAAAAATAAACGGTTGCCAATAATCGCAAACGCAATCAAACTGAACTTTGTACAGATTTTGAAAACTGTTAAGTCTGATAAAGTTTATTGTTTGATAAACATTTTGATAATCTTTACATTTAACATTATTAGCAAGGACTCCAAATTTATGCAATGCAAAAGCCTTATATTTACCTAATTTTTGCATTTGGGCCAATAAACCACATATTCGCAAAATGTATAAGTGAATATTTAGATAAAAAAAATAATTTCAGAAAAAAAATACTCCAAAGTTCGGAACTAACCTGTTGTTTCAATGATTCCGCAATAATTTGAACAGCTTCTACCTCCGACATTTTGAATAATTATTAATAAATTGATGACTTTCAATTGTATTCCACTTTTATTTCGAACAATCGAAGGTCTTTTAACTATGAAACAAATTACTTTTTACAACTGCGGACCACAACTGTTGCCGTTCAGACAATAAGCAGAAGTAAAACGAATGTGCACAATAGAAATCAGCCGCAAAGAAACAAAGACATACAAATGCAAATAACTTGGCAGCACTGTTGATGGCATATTCACCATATGTCAAACGAATCGTAAAATGTTCGCATCAAAAGCAAATGCTTACAATTATAATATATGTACTGTTCTTTAGCAAAATGTTTATACAATTCAAAATATAAATATTTATTTTTGTTATGAGATCAAATTTGATTCTTTAATTTTATAAATAACTTCGATGAACTGAAAATAAAATACTTGTAGAATAATTTAAAAATAGAGTATGACGCCTATTTTATTGTACCCAAAAAGTACTTGCAAGTAACTAATTTACCTTTACAACATTCACATTATTTTAAATGACGTATATTAGCGAAGCTATAAAAATTCGTCACCAACAGACGAATGTATACATACATTACGTGTTTAATATACAACTCGCAGCGAATTAGTTGGCGCAGACGTAGCGAACGTAGACAACGTAAACAAAAAACAGCGTTGTGTCAGTCCATTTAAACATTTTTAGTAAAATAGCTTAGCACGTCTCTAAGTGAAATTATTAAAAAATAATTTAAAATGTATATAATACTGTGCACAAAAAAAAATGTTAACAATTCCTATTATAGAAACGTTTTGCTCTTAATGGCATCCCTACTGGACTATTTTCAATATATTTTAGTTTTTAAGTTATTATATTTAAAATATTTTTCTCTGAAGTAGTCGATATTAAAAATAAAGACAAATTTGATTCTTACTTTAAACTCATTTTTAAAATAAGCTCAAACCGTTTATTATTCATTTATTGTTTATTTTTTAAAGAATTTAAATGCAATTGAAAACGTTTTTTATATATTTACGAAGTTATTTGTTCAAAAATATGAATGACTTGGTAACACTGAAACACAAATGATTTGGTAGTACTATTAAGCTCCAACTGGATTACATCAGGGAACATTTGTGATGTGTTCGGATTTATTGATATTGCAAAAGTATTGCGTATAAACACGTTAAAATAATTTAGTTTGAATTTTGAATATTATTAGCAATAACTGCACTTTAATGAATTAATAAAATTCAAGCGTTTTATTTGTTTTCCATTAAAAGCAATCGCATAAGAGTATCTCTTTACTTGTTTTTCGAATGAACAAATGCTGGTATTAACGGTAAAAAGAGATTATAAACCCAGAAAAATTAATATTAATAACACCAGAAGCAAGAAAGAAATGAACATAGCGTGAAATAAGAGGTGGGTATGCCAATATACTTCTGTGTTAGATGTGCGTTATTAGAATATATAAATAATATAACATTTTTTTTATAAGTTTAATATTTCAAGTCAAAAAATGACAAGTGCCTTCTTTATATCCTAGGAAGACACCTATCTTCTAAATCTGTACAAATTGATAAAGCAAATAAAACGCGGAATAAATATTTTACAGTTTTTATAGAAATACTTTGCAGTTTTAAGGAATATATCCGTTAATCGTTCGAATCTCTCATGGGTCAACTCTATAAAGTTAAACCTATAGATACTAGTTTTAAACTCTTCAAACCACCAGGATCGGATGATTTACATTTGATAGAGTTCGAGCGCTTTTGGTCATTTTACAACATTGTTTATTTTTCAACTATTTTCCGAATAAATGGGAGGAAATTAGAGTTACTTTTATATTCAATGTAGGTAAAACTTCTCACAATAGCCACAATGAAATGACTTTGTTCTATTAAACTTTGATCTCTCTTTTAACACGCTCAAACCAAAGAGAAATCTGTGGAGAGAGCTCTCCATTCTATCACTTATATCTTTAATAAATCTTTTAAATTAAAGGAGTTTTGTCTAGTTGCTTTTATAGGTATTAAACGCGCCTTAACAAAATACTTCCTAATAGCTGCTGCACTCTAGTAGCTGGGTGTTGATAATACACTGATTAACTTTATAAGTCAGTTACTAACTGGCAAGATTATTAAAGCTACTATGGGTTCGTTGACGGCACACAGAGGAATAGGTAGGATTACACCCCTAAGTAGGGTATTCACATCTCTGTTTTGGGATGAGAACACCTGAATGCAGATGAAGTAGATAATATATTTAATGGCAATATATATATACTATTAGACAGTGAAGCTGTTTAAAAGTCGGTGAGTTGTATTTTATTTTTATCCAGGACAGTTTTTGGCACATCTGTGAAGGAAATATTGACTTAGGGCTCTCTCTTAACTCATCTCTTCTCTCTGTTCTCGGTCATAAGGATATTTTTGGTAATTTCAAAGTAGATGAGTTGGCCAGACGACGTACTACTGGTAAGCATTTAGAACATCTAAAGAATGTGAGCATACCACTAGCATCATGAAAAACAGTAGTTGAATTCTTTTTGTATTGAGCAATTTAATACAAAAAGGAAAGACTTCGGAAACATTTGAGTCGTGTTTTAGGCTTGTTGACAGATCACTACCATTTGAGGAGACACAATAGAAGGTTGCATCTTTTGTTTATTATTTTGTATTGCAGTTGTGGGGAGGACGATAAAATAGACTCACTTATGCTTTCTTACTATCCAACACATACACGGCGTTCTTTTTACTATGGCAGGAGCTTCGCCAGTTCTACGACTCCCTTTGAGTTCTTATAGGGTATAAAAATGGTCCTATTTTAAAAATGCAAAACTCAAATAATTCTTCATATGTCATCTTTGATCATCCATAGCGGGTAAATAAACGGACTCACTGCCCAGAATTTTTGTAGTTGCAAAAATCTGTTGTGATATTACCATAAATTATATTGTGAAGAAACGACAATAAAACAATAAAATATTTATACATCATTTCTTTTTAAATATATATTTTTATCACTAAATCTTAACAATATAGAAACTTATAATTATAATTTAAATCAGAAATCTGATTATTTTGGCGAAATATATCTCCGAAGTCTTAAAATTAAATGGACACAATATCGTTGTGAATACATAGGTATAATATACAAGTACTAATATATACTAAGTGTTGTCATTAAAATACTTTCAGTTGCGGTAGGATGATTGCAGACAATTAAGAATAGTTTTTATTTACAACTTCGTGTTAACTATTTCCTCGCGCGATGAAGTATTGTTCAGTTCGTTCCATTTTTGTATTTTACCCGACCCAAAAATCCAGTAAAACAAAGCTGGGATTACGTAAGCCGCAGCACCAATCAGGAAAATGTAGTGCCATTCATCAATAGTATTCTAAAAAAGTATTTTTAATATTTAAAAAGAATGTCATATTTTAGAAGTTTATGTAATTACATTATCTTTGGTAAAGTGTGCAACTATCATTGGAGAGAATATACCAGGAGTAGTGCCTACACAGTTTATTATACCATATAGTGTGCCGGCATAGTTTGGTGCCAAATCTTGAGAGTTTTGGAGGTTCGAAGCTGTTGCAGCACCATTAAAGCCCAAGGATATTGTCATTATTGCCACACAAACATATGGATCCTTACCGAAGAAAGCGAGTAGTACAAGGAAAATACCGGGAATGACATGTGCTGTAAGAAGACAAAAATTAATAATATATCACAACAACGGAGTAAGCGTTATTTACAGGGTAAACAAAATATTTTTCGCATGCGTGTTACGCTTAACCACTCCTTGCGTCTTATAAGATCAGCTAAGGAACCAAAACCGAACGCGCAAATAAGACGTGCTAAGTGAGGTAAACTGGAAAGGAAGCCGGCCGAGGATAGATTAAAACCTAGAACCTTTAAATAAATAAAAAAATAAAAAATTAAGTTTCAAATAACTATAAAAACTAATTATTAAGATCTTACCTCGCTAAGGAATTTAGGTGTTGCCGTAAGCAAGAAGAACAATCCCCACATGCTACCATAATGAAGTAACATTAGAGACCAGAAAGGCATAGAAACAACAAGGCTTTTATATGGTGGCCATCTCTGGAGGTAATAAATATTTTTGACATATTATTAATATTTGTACTGAAAATAAAAATAATGTAATCATACCTTCTTATCATTAACTGTTTCACCAAGACTTTTGACAATATATTCACGCTCCTCAGGTTTAATTGTCTTATGTTTGGCTGGACTGTCGGCTACAACCATAAACCAAATAGCAACCACGAATAAAACGAATATGCCAATTATATAGAATGCCCAATCCCAACCCATATTCTCAATGATAAGACCACTTATAGGCCAAGTGATAACTGTACCAAAGGTCCCACCCATAAGTGAAGCTACAAATTTTCCTTTTTCATCTGGTGGTGACCACTTTGATATTAAGTTATGGCAACATGGATAAACTACACCCTGTTAAAGTATTAAAAAGAATATAAATGGTTATTAGTTTGGATACTACTAAAAAATAAAAAACTTACAGTGAAAAACCCTATAGCAAATCGTAATACAAATACTGCCCATTTATCCCAAGTAGCTGCAACCGGTGTTAACATAGTCAGAACACCAGCGACAAGACAACTGAAACCAGCTACCGGTTTTCCTCCGAAATTCTCCGCTAACATACCAGCTGGAAGTGATGTAATCATATATCCGTAAAAATAAGCACCTAATAAGAGGCCTTGATCACTTTGACTCCAATTATATCGTGGTCCGTACTGTTCGGTACAATAAAGAAAAAAAATAATTGAAAAAATTTATTAACACACATTATTTCGTATATATCATATATATCGTATATATATATATTCTTGAAATAAAAAACGATAGAACCACTTTGAAAAGTGCATTAAGGACGTATGCGAGTTAGCTAAGTTGATGCTAAACCAAATGGGAGATTCTTTGGGATTTTTTGCACTGTACACATTTAGCCATTTATCAACACGCATCGACACATCACTACATCGAAACATTATCGGCACAACTTAGAATTTCCCTCATTTAGAACGAGAACGCAACTAAGCCTAACTCGCACACGTCCTAAGAATATGAGTATATTTAAAATATCTAATGGATTAAATACAATTTTTTTTTGAGAACTGAAATCACAGAAATAATATTATTTAAAATTTGAAAACCACAAGCTAATTTTTTATATAAAATTACTTTAATAGAATTAAGGGTTATGTTCTTCTTAAAAAGAAATTGTGGTTTAAATTTATATTAAATAAATACGAGTATTTCTAAAATTGAGTATTTTTATTTTACGATTCCGATCCAGATTTTTATTTATGGTTTGCTACTGTCAACATAGCTAAGAGCATAAAAATAATAAATAAATCACTTACGTCTGGTAAAGGTTCTGTGGCGTTGGCATCGGTTGACTCCACCATTGCTACGATGTTAATGGAAAGATTGACTCGCATCACATAGCTCATCAGGCAAGCCATGAAAAGCATAACAGCGATGTTGAAACGCTTTGGTATTTGAACTGAAAAAACATAGAACAGAATATATATAATATATAATAATATATGTAATAATATATAATAAGTAATAAAAGTTAAACTTAAAATATAAATTATAAGCATTTTCTAGGTCAATCAATATTTTTAACATTAAAAACATCAAAAAAAAATATATATTCTTAATACAATCTTTCGAAGTTTCTGGAGAGGTCGCAAAAAATAGTTAAATGTTTTCTATAATATATGTAAAATTTTATTACAGCATTAAACTGTTTGAAAATGAAATACATAAATAAGTCTGTTTTTGTTTACCTTATTTTTTTTTATTTTTCTAATTATTTATTTGCATGTCAATAATTTTGAAAAAATTTTTACAAAAACCTAAACACCAAACCAAATAATTGGAATTAGTAGTGCAACATAGTGTTGCGCACACTGCACATGCACATTACGTGACACCTTGAGGAAGTGCTTTGAAGTGTGACTGTGACTATAACTGCAAATCTGCACCATTGGACACTAAACAAGAGGTTATGGTTATGACTCTTAAAATTAAATCTTCATTTGAAACCCGTACTTAAGTTAAGAAGAGTTTTTACCTTTTAAAAAATTTTAATCAATTACTTACACATTAAAATGGGTCTTCATTTTAATAGAAATTTATCATTAAAATGCAAACTACCTATATAGGCTTTTTCTTCAAAAATGTTGCACATCAACATATTTTAAGAATAAGGCTAATTAAATTGTTATAATTAGATATTAATTATTAGATATTATATTATATATAAAAACAGTAGATAGATGGTTCGAGTGCTTTTGCCAAAAAAACCCTCACATAGCATAAAAAGAGCACTGTAGTGCTTTCTGAATGGAATATATAATTTACGAGATTAAAATAATACTATATACATATTATTACATATTATTATAATCTCTGAAATTACTAAAACAGTTATTTCTATATTTATCTAGAATCTTGAATTTATTTCTGTTTAGACATTTCTTATGAAATAATCTGAATGCAAATCGTTTATGATTAAAACAGTTTATTCTTAATAGTT